GAGAGAGGCCAAGGCTGGTGCAGTTTTTCCAGGTGATCCTGGAATAAGAGCTCATGGTTGGGAAGTGATTTTTTTCCAGGCACATACTTGACATTGGTGTTGGTGCAGATGATGTACTCGATCTCATCCGAGTAAGGATTCTGGAAGGTGAAGGAGCTGGTTCTCATCCAGAGCCATTCCCTGGTCTTGGATCGGAAGCGGAACATGACTGAAAGGACTTGGCCTTTTAATTTCACCACCTACAAGGAGCAAAATGCCACGAGCAGCACCTGAGCAAGGTGTGAAGGAGCAACCTGAGCCACCCCCAAGCACAACCCCCTGCGATGGCCCTTTGCCTCAAACCTGGACCACCACATCTCAAAGTCTGCCCAAACTAAATGCCTCTTATTGCCTTAGGAATGGCTTGATTCCCAAAGGATACAGGAGGGGAATCATCCAAAAAATGTAAAAAAAAAAAAGAATTAAAAAAAAAATCCCCTATTTGCCTTTTCTCTGAGCTCTTTGCACTGGTGAGATGTATGAAGAAGAATAATAATAAAAAAAAAAAAAGCCTCCAAGAAATGAAACACATGCTGTTGCTTCCAATATTCCAATGCTTTGGAGAAATGGATATGAGCAGTTGGGTTTTGGTTTTTTTTGGAGTCATGAAAGCACAGGGGCAGCCTTACCTGCCCTGCCACAAGTCCAAGGCCCTCAGAAATAAGAGGAACGACAACAGGGCAAGAAAACCACTTCCATTTCAGGTTCTGCAGCACTGGGCTGGGCCCTAGAGATGAACCAGGGTTTCAGCCACAGAAGCACAGCAAGTCAAGGAGCCACTTGGTAGCCACATTTCCTAACCCTCAAAGCAAACTGGAGCAGGAACCAGAGCATGGAGTCAGGAGTTAAGACAGCAGATGCTTCTGGTTTGGTTGGCCTGTAGTTAGAGGCCTAGATCTGTCACTGTCTGCAAAGGAGAATTAGCTAAAGGTTTGGGGGTTTTTTTTGCCTCTTGGTTTGCCCAATTCACTAGGTCATTCCACTCTGAATTCCACTCTGAATTCCACTCTAAATTCCACTCTAAATTCCACTCTAAACTCCACTCTAAATTGCACTCTGAATTCCACCCCAGAGCAAGGCCAAGATGTTTTACCTGCTGGAAACTATCCCGTAAAAGCTGTTGGTCTTCTGGATGGCAAAAATCCACAATGTCTTTCCCCAAAAGTTCCTGATTGTCAAGGAATTGGGAGAGAGAACCAGTCAGTTCATCTGGCAGACAGATTCCCTACTGAATCCCATTCTGGACAGGGAATTCTTGCTCTTTTTCCCCTCCCCAATATCTCCTCCAAATCTTTGTGACATGAGTCAAGCACAGGAGCTGTTTGGAAAGAGAAGCACAACAGCTGTGGCTTCATGTTTGATCTCTTAACTCAATTTGAGGCCCAAAAAAAAAGCTTTTAATTGACATTTGACATCATCCAGATGTCAAATGTCCATCAGCCTTCCCATGATCAAAGGATTTGGGGAAAAAAAACCCAACAACACATGGCAAAGCAACCAGAGGAGAAGAAACACATGTCTGGGTTGAGCTCTGGGTATGGTTTAGCAGCTCTGTTGGACAAACAGAGCCACAAAAAAAGAAGGAAAAGGAAGTTTCAAGAGGAATTTTGCCCTTGGAAAGTTCCAAAATGGTCTCACCTGGGGTTGGTAGCCAACAGTGGCCACACAGCGATGGTCAATGAAGGTGAAAATGCCTTCAGTGTTGTGTCTGGAGATGAACTCTGTCGGCTGACAAACATTGTTCATGTCTGTGCAGTTGGGAGAACTAGTCACCTGCAAGAAAAAACAAGGAATATTATCATATCCTGCTTGTTCCTGATTTGTAAGGGAAATTTTTCAGATAGGGCAGTTTAAATCTAGGCAATTCCAGCACAAAGGGAAAGGTAAATAAGTCACTTACTTGGAGTCTGCCAATAGCCACGAGGCAAAACTTGCTGCCCTGAGCAGCATCTGGGTCATCATCAGGCAGGGAAACACCTGGAAGGGAAGAGAAAAAAATTCCAGGGAGAATAACAAAGAAAAAAATAAAATAAAATCGCTCATTCCGAAAAAAATGGACTTCTAGATGTTTCTCCACCCTGGTTTGTAACTCAGGATCCATCCCCAGGAAGGGATTTGGTAAATTAAGTCGCTTCCCCCTCCCTTTTCTCTCCAGAAGAAAAATTTCTATTTTTTTTTTCTCCAGCATTTCTACATTTCAGCACAAATTGCACATGTTGAACATCATTTTCATCCTCTACAGACAGAGATCTCAAGGCAGCACCTGCAAAAGTTAGTTCAGGCTGGAAATAAAAGGGACAAATAAATTTGCAAAGCTTTTCTTGCCACATTCAGCTCTCAGAATGGCAATTTTAGGCCTTGTGCCCTTAAAACCAGTAAGACCAGGGCTGAACCCTTTGGTCATCCCAGTGACACCCAGAGCTCCAGGCTGGGACAGAG